TATTCTATCAGTTCTTCGAGATCTTTGCTCAAAAGTCTTCTATGAGCCCCACCACTACCACGCTATTTAAAACTGCCTCCTCGGGCTTCCCTGGTGGCGCAGTGGTTGAGAGTCCGCCTGCCGATGCAGGGGACACGGGTTCGTGCCCCGGTCCAGGAAGATCCCACATGCCGCAGAGCGGCTGGGCCTGTGAGCCATGGCCGCTGGGCCTGCGCATCCGGAGCCTGTGCTCTGCAACGGGAGAGGCCACAAAAGTGAGAGGCCCACGTACCGCAAAAAAAAAAAAAAAAACTGCCTTCTCTTCCTTCCCCTATTCTTCTGTGCTTCATTTTTCTGCATCACACCAATCATGGTCAGAGAAACTATATAATTTATGCATTTGTTTATTAACCACACAACCAATCAACCCTCCTGCACCTTCTTCTTCCTCCCCTCCCCCTTCCCCCTCTCCTCCTCCTCTTTCTTTTTCTTCCATCTCTATAGGTCAGAAATTACTCTTTCACTGCAGCTTACCAGGTGCAAAGAACACTGCCTACCAGTGGCTTTCAACAAATAGTTGTTGAAGGAAGGAAGGCAGGAAATGAGGGAGAAAAGGAGGCATCCCTGCAATCTGGGACAAGAATGATATGGACAGGTATATTAAAGACTACTGAAAAAAACTTAAAACCAACAGAAAATTGTAACAGTAATGTTCAAGATGGAAAATTATTTTAAAGTTTTATCATTAGGAGCTTGTTAAAAGAAAGTAGAACCATAAATGAACCCTTTCCGTCTCACGGTTTATATGTAACAGAGGAAGTAAACTTTTATCAGCTAATAGGAGCAACATGAGAAAGGTAAGAGAAAAAGCATTACTGGCATAAAATGTAGCTTGCAAGAAGGCTTGAGGTCATGTTTGGAATGGTTAGAGAAAGGCATGTTAAATAATCTTGCCCAGCAGGATGGTTAGAAAAAGTCAGGGAAGGAACTGAACAGAAGTGCTTGACCACCAGAGCCCCCCAGGCTCCCTGTGACCCAGCACCTCCTCCAGCAGACCACAGCACCGCTCTGCAGAGGAGCGGAGACTACCTTGGCGCCTCATGCTCCTCTGCTACCCACCTAAGCAAGTGGTCCCTCATCCCCTTGGTTACCATACCCCAGAAGTTGCTGGGTAGAAAGTCATCAGAGGACTCGTACCCTCTGGCCTCTACTGATGACCCACCTGGCTCTAAAAGCTTTTCAGAACAAAACCCATCATGGCTCACATCCTGGGCTACCTTTGTCACACCAGACGATCAACACTTCCAGGTAATCCAACATCAACCAGGCCCTTATTTCCAAATGACTCTCTTGTCCCCTAATTTCCCATCCCACCCCCTCAAATCCAATATTGTCTAATACATAGATTCTTTGTAGAAAATAGAAAAGGAAATGCTTCACAACTTGTTTTATGAAGCCAGCATAACCCTGATACCAAAACTTAACCAAAGTATTACAGGAAAAGAAAATTACATACCAATGTCCTTCATGAATACAGACACAGAAATCCTTAACAAATATTAGCATATTGAATCCAGCCATATGAAAAAATAATAGCACATCATGCACATCATAGCTCCACATTCAAAAATCAATGTAATTCACATTAGACGATTATGATTATCTTGATAAATGTAGAAAAAAACTGACAAAATTCAGTACCCATTATTAATAAAAATTCTCAAACTAAAAAGAGAAGGTAATTTCCTCATTCAGATAAAGGTCATCTATGAAAACCCCACAGCTAACGTCATACTTAACGATGAAAGACTGAATGCCTTCCCCCTAAGACTGAGAACAAGACAAGGATGTCCATTTTCACCACTTCTAACTAACACTGTAATGGAAATCTTAGCAACGAGAAAAAAGGAAAAAAAAAAAATTACCAGAACTAATGAATAAAAATAGTAAGGTTGCAGGATAAGAAGTTAATTTTTAAAAATCAGTTTCAGCAAAAATTTTAATTTTGCTCATTAAAAAACATACAGCACATACATCTGACAAAGAACTCATATCTAAAATATATATACAAATATTGAATCATTATGTTGTACACCTGAAACTAATATAATGTTTTATGTACATCATGCCTCAATTTAAAAAAAATCTCACGAAAAGCAAAAGTGCTCTTGTAAAGTTGCCAGATACAACCTTAACTGCTTTCCCTAATATTAAATAATTTGTAGAATAACAACATCAGCTCTGTATATAGTACTGTGAAAAATAATGGTTTTATATTAACTTCAACAAATATTTTTAATTAAAAAAGAAAGAACTACCACAGAAAAAAATTTTTACTGGGTAAAGACTTGGTCCAAACACCTCACAAAGGAGATACATATATAAAAGGTGTTCAAGATCATGAGTCATCAGGAAAATACAAATTAAGATACTATTTCACACCAACCAGAACGGCTTTCCCCACCCCCAGTCATCCCCCTCCCCTGCTGCTGGCCTCTATTGTCATGTCCCTGTCAGAAATCATCTTGTATATAAACTTATACACTTGTTTATTGTGTGTTCCTTCCACTAGAGATACTGACACCCTGGGAGGAAAGGACCTCGTCTGTTGCATTCACTGTTGCAGCCCCAGGATCAGGAGCATTGCCTGGCAGAGAGTGTGCACCTGACATACATCTGTTGAAAGAATGAATGTCACTAACACAGTAAAGTATGTCTTCTGCCATGAGGTACATCAAGACATAGTCTCTTTTTATTTTTTTAGTGAGTTGGGCTTTTTTAAATCTTTATTGGAGTATAATTGCTTCACAATACTGTGTTAGTTTCTGTTGTACAACAAATCAGCCATATGCATACATATGTCCCCACATCCCCTCCCTCTTGAGCCTCCCTCCCACCCTCCTTATCCCACCCCTCTAGGTCATCGCAAAGCATGAAAAGACAGCCCTCAGAATGGGAGAAAATATTTGCAAAAGACATAGTCTTGAATAAGGAAAATAGGAGAGAAGGAGAAAACAAAATAAGTGTACACAATTAAGTAAAGCAAAATACTACGTCTGGTGCCACTTTAGAGGCATAAAGTAAATTAGGCCATAGACCGATACCTAGAAGGAGGCAATCAGAAAAGCCTGTGAAAGCCCATGAGTAATGCAGACATTTCTCCATAGAAATGGCTCTATAGGAAATACTGCAAAATATAGAAGGTATAGTGCCTCAGATCGAGAACCTGCCTTCAGGAAGGTTCTGACCTAAACATTAGTAATAACTGATTTTAATATCTCGTTATATAAGGAAGTCATTCCTGCACCTCAGATTCACAGATAGTAGAAAACTACAGTATTGACTCACACCTAAGTAAATAACCTAAGTTTTGCCGCTTAAGTATCTATAAATGAAAAAGCCTTCAACTTAGAATGCCTTTGCCTCATAACCCTAATTTCTTCTGTTATTATTTTGAGACATGGCAGAGAGAGAAGGCAGAGTAGGGAGTAGGAAGGAGGAGTATGCAGGCATGAACTGGGAGGGTTGTGGCATCTGGTGGCCTGAGACATTTAGGTGAATTTGACCAGCGGTGTTCTCAGGAAAATCTCCTCACCTTGTGAACTGTACCTAGCAGAGAGCCAGGGGCAAGGTGAGTATTCGGTAGGTACCTAATGAATGAACTATCTTCCAAACAATGATTTTAAGAGATGGCTTAAAGATCCAGGTTTAGGAATGTTTTTTGTTTTCTAACCCTAAGGCCATTTATCCAACTTTAGTAAGTAATTAGTACAACAAGCCCCTGGCAGATACACAGCACAAAGTCCCATGCTGTAGGCACACATAATGCAAAATAATGGAAACCTCTGGCAGAGAATCTGACAAGAAGAAAGCTCTAAAATAATATAATTATTTTATTTGTATCTCACAGGACAAAAACCTAGGAACTTGTCTTCTTAATGATCCTGTTCTTGGGTATTTTTTCCTTGTGTATTCATTACACTTCCACCTCATTCTTTTAAGCTAAGGTATAACTGCACATGTTTCAGCATGTCTTTTCCTATCACTTATTCCCTCTGGGATTGACAATTAAAGTAACTGCTCAGTAAGCTCAAATCCTTTTATCCATTTCAGATGCTTAAAGCTTGTTTACAGCATCTTTCTATGAAATTCATGATCATTTGTTTCTCACCGACATAAAATGATTGAAATGGGAAAGGAATTATCTGGAAAAGAATGCTATTCCATATAGATCCACACCAGAATAAAAAGAAAAAAGTGAAATTTCAGTATAAGACATCACCAATTGATTTTAGAGCTGGACCTAAAGCAGCTAGTGCTTATTTCATCTCTTCATTTTCTTAATGGGTAAATTAATGGTAATTTCTGAAATTTTAAGGGGAAATCAGAAAGGATTGTACTCTTACAGGTTAAACCTCTCCGCCTTGCGGGCTGGGGTTTGACAAACAGTTAATGAATGAGTACGTGAACAGATGAAGGAAGGAATTTGTAAGTATTCTTCTAAATAATGGTCATAAAGCTAGTTAGCGGTATAGCCAGGACTAAAACCCAGTCTTCTTTATTTCTTCCTTGGTAACTCATAAGCTGCAGCTACATGAGCAGCTTAGTTAGTTGTCAGAGGAGCGGCAATGTCATCGAAATCCTGGACTGACCTCTGTAGTGTGTTTTTTCTCATTCTGCTTTTAGATGTGCAAACAAAAAAAAAGAATGAAAAGTGACAAGTGGGCTGACATAAGAAAATTGCACTGTAGCCAGATCACACATAGAAAATGACAGAAAAAAGGTAGGCAGAGATGGCTCTGTGATTTTCTCCTCACTCTCACCTGATCTAAGAAATATAAAAGGTACAAAGTTAGAATGCATTAGCTGTCAAATCAACAACGTTCCATTAGAGGTACAGCCTTCTCTAACAATGCAGCCATTTCACAACCACGGGCTTGACATAGTCCACAACCAGGGAACAAGCGGCAGAAATAATCAGGAACAAGAACATCATGTGATAATGAAGACACTATACTTACTCTTCCAGGAAGTGCTGCTGGGGTCCTATAATAGAGCCGGGCCGGCATATTCTGATCCAAGCAATTATTTCTGCGTGTGTAAACCTGTAGTGTTTCATGACATAACAGGCTATCAAGGTCCCTGTTCTTCCAAGACCAGCTGTAAGAGAGGGAAACACAACAAGAAATACAAAATACAGCAAATGTACCCACAAAAACTCTGAAATTAAACCCTGTCCAGAAGATGCTATGGTTTCAAATATAATACAAAATTTTTAAACCCAGGCAATAAGGTAATGCTTTTTCATGATTGGGGGGGGGGGGGGGGGGTTGAAAGATAATTCTAACTCAAGAAATTTTTAAAAAATAGATCATAGGATCAAAATAAACATATGTAGAAATATATATAAAAATCAGAGCAAGTATCTTGAAAATTATGGAGAGTTCAACCCCCGAGGGCCTTTGAGAATGAACGTCACTGTGAACATTGTTAAGGCAATACTGGTTCTAGACAAGCACTTGCAAAATATCAGCTGTCAGGGACTTCCCTGGCGGTCTAGTGGTTAAGACTCCACACTCCCAATGCAGGGGGGCCCGGGTTCAATCCCTGGTTGGGGAACTAAGATCCCACATTTCACTGCAACTAAGTCCACGTACCGCAACTAGAGAAGCCCGTGCGCCACACCAAAGAGCCAGTTCAGCCAAAAGTAAATAAATAAATTTTTTTAAATATATAAACTAACTTAAAAAAAAACACAGCTGTCAGGTGTCCCCATGCTCCCCATCCTTAGCTCCAGCCCAGGCTGAGATGAACCTTCAGTTAACAGTTTGTGGACTTCCCTGGTGGTGCAGTGGTTAAGAATCTGCCTTCCAACGCAGGGGATGTGGGCTCAAGCCCTGGCCTGGGAAGATCCCACATGCCGCGGAGCAACTAAGCCCGTGCACCACAACTACTGAGCCCACGTGCCACAACTACTGAAGCCCATGCGCCTAGACCCTGTGCTCTGCTACAAGGGAAGCCACCGCAACAAGAAGCCTGTGCACTGCAACAAAGAGTAGCCCCGGGCTTCCCTGGTGGCGCAGTGGTTGAGAGTCCGCCTGCTGATGCAGGGGACATGGGTTCGTGCCCCGGTCCGGGAAGATCCCACATGCTGCGGAGCGGCTGGGCCCGTGAGCCATGGCTGCTGAGCCTGCACGTCCAGAGCCTGTGCTCCACAACTGGAGAGGCCACAACAGGGAGAGGCCCGCGTACCGCAAAAAAAAAAAAAAAAAAAAAAAGAGTAGCCCCCGCTCGCTGCAACTAGATAAAGCCCACACACAGCAAGACCCAAGGCAACAAAAAATTAATTAATTAATTAATTTAAAAAAAACACTTTGTGTGTGTGACTCTGAGTCAGTAGCATAACTGATTATATTATCATGGTCATTCTTTTAAGCCTATGTCAATGGTGAGGTTTTTTTAAACTTATCGTAGAATAAGGAATTATAGAATCAAAGTAAGAAGACACCATAAGTATCATCAGGCCCCATTAGCTGCCTAACTCATGACTGTTTCAATACTATCTCCACCAGGTGGTCCTAACCTCTATGTAACTCCTTCAGAGACCAGGATTTCATTATTTCCTCAGCCAATAGGTATTGATGGAGCAGCTACTACCTGCCAGGTACTGTGCTAGAAGCTGGGGATAAGGTGACGAATAAAACAGACATGGTCCTGGCCCTTATGAGAACACACCATCCACTAAGAACCAAGCCAACAGAAGTGCTCAAGTTTCCTTTCTTGAGGCTCTTAAATTTTTTGGAAACTTTTGTGTCAACATATTTCTTATGTTGAACCCAATTTCTGTTATGTAGGAGAAATTAATATAATTAGAAATGATTTTCAAGGATGTATTGGTTACTATCATGATCAAAATGTTCTTCAAAAGGTTTTTACAAATTGCGATTTCTTTTTCCTCTCTCCACAGAAACAAAAGTGATAGGATGAAGATGGCAGTGTGGGAAGACACAGAGTTAGCATCTCCCCACGATTAGGGCACCTGCCAGCCACCAGTGGGGGACTCTGACGCCCAAGGAGATGGGAGGAACCCCCAAGTGAACCAGTAGGATGTGGGGAGACTGAGGGGGGAGCAGAAATGGAGGCCAGACAGGATCTGTGCCCCTGAGGCCAGGGAGATCAGGCAGGAGGGACTCTCCAGGAAGAGCAGGAGAGGAGTGGAGGGCGATCGCCTGGCCCTCCAGGGAGCCTGCTGAGCTCCCAAGCCGGTACCCCCTCTCCAAAGCCCCATCAAGGCCACGTGGGTCCTGGGGCCATAAGAAGGAGGCTGGGGAGATCAAGAGAGGCAGGTGGGAGGAGGCATCTGGGAGGAGTGGGAGAGGTGCAGAGGGCAATTGCCCTGCCCACTCGGGCCTGGGGAGCCTGCTGAGCTCCTAGGCCGGTTCCCTGCACTCCAAGGCTGCCCCCCATCACTGGGGGCATAGGAGGGAGGCCGGGGAGATCAGGAGAGGCAGGCAGGAGGAGCCCTCCCAGACCGGAGGAGCAGGAGAGGAGAGGAGGGCGTTTGCCCCACCCACTGAGGCCCAGGAAGCCTGCTGGCCTCCCAGGTGAGGTCCCCTGCTCTCTGAGACCAGGGGTGGGGGGCACACCTGGGCCCCTTCTGTTCCTTGAGCCTAAGCCCCACCCTCCACAGCCCCCAGGGCCTTTTCCAGCCCTGTGGGTCCTGAGCATTGGCCCTACCCACCCCCCAAACCTTGCCCTTGCTTGGGCCCTGCCCTCCACAGCCAAGGCCTTTTCCTTTATTTATTTTTTTCTCTTTTCCCTCCTCCTCTTTTTTACTATTGTGGTACTGATGTACCTTCCGGTTGTTGATTCATCTCTATTTTTATTTTTACATTCTTTCTAACATATCTGTCAGTTTCCCAATCTATTTTTTTTTTACTTTGTTATTGTTCTATTTTTTTTTTTTGCCATCCCACGCAACTTGCAGGATCTTAGTTCACGAGCCGGGGGTCAGGCTGAAGCTCCTGTGGTGGGAGCTCTGAGTCTGAACCACTGGACAAACAGAGAACCTCAGAGCCCAGGGAATAGTCATCAGAATGAGGTCTCACAAAGTTCCTCATCTCAGCACCAAAACTTAGCTCTACACAATAGCCTACAAACTCCACAGTTGGAAGCCTCAGGCCAAACAATCAGTAAGACAGGAACAAAATCTCACTCATAACAAAAAAAAAGAGACAGAAAAAAGGATGTCACAGATGAAGGAGCAAGGTAGAAACCTACAAGACTAAATAAATGAAGAGAAAATAGGCAATCTACCTGAAAAAGAATTCAGAGCAATGATAGTAAAGATGATCCAGAATCTTGGAAATAGAATGGAGGCACGGATTGAGAAAATACAAGAAATGTTTAACAAGATCTAGAAGAACTAAAGAACAAACAAACAGAGATAAACAACACAATGACTGAAATGAAAAATACACTAGAAGGAATCAATAGCAGAATAACTGAGGCAGAAGAACGGATAAGTGAGCTGGAAGACAAAATGATGGAAATACCTGCAAGGAGCAGAATAAAGAAAAAAGGATGAAAAGAATTGAGGACAATCTCAGAGACCTCTGGAGCAGCACTAGATGCACCAACATCCGAACTAGAGGGGTCCCAGAAGAAGAAGAGAAAAAGAAAGGGTCTGAGAAAATATTTGAAGAGATTATAGTTGAAAACTTCCCTAACATGGGAAAGGAAATAGTCACCCAAGTCCAGGGAGCACAGAGAGTCCCATACAGGATAAACCCTAGGAAAAACACACCAAGACACATACTAATTAAACTAACAAAAATTAAATTCAAAGAAAAACTATTAAAAGCCGAAAGGGAAAAACAAAAAATAACACACAAAGGAATCCCCATAGGTTATCAACCGATTTTTCAAAGGAAACTCTGCAGTCCAGAAGGCAGTGGCAGAATATATGTAAGGAGAATGAGGAGAGGAGCTTCAAGATGGCAGAAGAGTAAGATGCGGAGATCACCTTCCTCCCCACAGATACATCAGAAATACATCTACACGTGGAACAACTCCTACAGAACACCTACTGAACACTGGCAGAAGACCTCAGACCTCCCAAAAGGCAAGAAACTCCCCATGTACCTGGATAGGGCAAAAGAAAAAAGAATAAACAGAGACAAAAGGATAGGGACGGGACCTGCACCAGTGGGAGGGAGCTGTGAAGGTGGAAAGCTTTCCAAACACTAGGAAGCCCCTTTGTGGGCAGAGACTGTGGGTGGCGGAGGGGGAAAGCTTCAAAGCCACGGAAGGCAACGCAGCAACAGGGGTACTGAGGGCAAAGCGGAGAGATTTCTGCACAGAGGATCGGTGCCAACCGGCACTCACCAGCCCGAGAGGCTTGTCTGCTCACCCGCCAGGATGGACGCGGGCTGGGAGCTGAGGCTCGGGCTTCAGTTGGATCCCAGGGAGAGGATTGGGGCTGGCGGCATGAAGACAGCCTGAAGGGGGCTAGTGCACCACAGCTAGTAGGGAGGGAGTCTGGAAAAAGTCTGGAGCTGCTGAAGAGGCAAGAGACTTTTTCTTTCCTCTTTGTTTCCTGGTGCGTGAGGAGAGGGGATTAAGAGCGCCGCTTAAAGGAGCTCCAGAGACGGGCATGAGCCGCGGCTATCAGCGCAGACCCCAGAGACAGGCATGAGACGCTAAGGTTGCTGCTGCCGCCACCAAGAAGCCTGTGTGCAAGCACAGGTCACTGTCCACACCTCCCCTCCCAGGAGCCTGTGCAGCCCGCCACTGCCAGGGTCCCGTGATCCAGGGACAACTTCCCTGGGAGAACACATGGCACGCCTCGAGCTGGTGCAACATCACGTCGGCCTCTGCTGCCGCAGGCTCGCCCAACATTGCGTACCCCTCCCTCCCCCCGGCTTGAGTGAGCCACAGCTCCCGAATCAGTTGCTCCTTTAACGCTGTCCTGTCTAAGCAAAGAACAAATGCCCTCAGGCGACCTACATGCAGAGGCAGGTCCAAATCCAAGGCTGAACCCCAGGAACTGTGTGAACAAAGAAGAGAAAGGGAAATTTCTCCCAGCAGCCTCAGAAGCAGTGGATTAAACCTCCACATTCAACTTGATATACCCTGCATCTGTAGAATACCTGAATAGA